TCTCGGTGCCGCCACAGCAAATGCTCTCTCTCCATATGTTTTCAGTCTAGCTTTCGGGGTCGCCAGAAGGTGTTCAGAGGACGATCTTATATTCAACTGTGTTCTTCCGGTGTTCGCTTCTGTTTTCATTAATCCAAACATGGACTCCTGATGAAACATTTTCGATATCATCCCCGTCCGCTTACCTTGTCAATGTTTTTGCTGTCCATACCAATTATCAGCTCCATGAAATCGTAGCATATTTTCTCGGCCAGAGGACCTTCGCAGAAACCCAGTTTGATGAGTGCTCTCAAGAAGGTACCAGGAAGCAGATCAAAGGTCATGCCAGGGAAGAGTTTCTGAGGAAATCAATATAACGCTTGCTGTAAGTTTTGGATATTGGGCCCGGTATATACTACGCAAGTCGTCATCTCATATACCGACGTATTGATAAGTTTACATCAAAGCTCCCTTGTTTCAATTATTGTAACTTCAAAAATTTACATCAGGATAATGTATGTCTCCAAACCATTTTACGATTGTAGCTATTCAATTTAACGCCCTCCTTCCCCTACGCCTTTTAAATTGAAGCTCTCCCCCACCCCTCCACCCCCCCAACATTGAAAGAGGTTTTAATCTTTCCTCCCTTATTATTGTAGAAACTTTGTTATACACCCAATTAAAGCTCACTCGGGTATTTATCTATTCAAAACCCTTTTAATACGACTGCGGTCTTCCAACTCACTATAACTGGTTTTTTTTTAAATAATTTATAACAACATCGCGCTTGTCAAACACAGTCACTTTTTCCAAGATAACAAATTTTGTTTTTGACTGGTTACCTTGACCAGTGGATATAAGATCTCTGCCCCCCCTCTAGCGATCTCTGTGCTATTGTTCAAGGTGTAGATTGGAGCTAACGCGAAGAAGGCCTTGATTTTATTTCCCAGCACTGGGTTATCAGAAAATCCAGTGAACCCAATCAATGTTCCTTGTGAATGACCGACATAGTACAACTGTTCCTGTCCCGTGACGTTCAATGCGTAGTCGATCATGGCGGGAAGATCGTAATCGGCCATTTCTTGCCAGCTACAGGAATAAAATTGCAGCAATGTTACAAAGAAAAGGGTTTTTTTAAAGTTATCTTATGTATTCCTTTCATCCTTTTGCAATCTAGGCGTCAGCCTCAACAGGACCATGCAACTCACAAGTAACTTACTTTAAGAACAGTGAAAAAAACCTTGGAAGCTGAATGTCGATCAAAAAACTCTGACCTCTCATTATTATTACACCACCGCTGGAATTGGCGGGAATACCTTGGCAGTTAATAGTCAAAACACTTGTCCTGTAATTGGACGCGTTGTGTTACGATTCAGACAATAGCTAATTTCACACATATTCCTCAACTCTAGTGTGCATCAGTAACACAGTTTTCTGCTCTTAAATAGCGGGAAGGAAAGGATGGCAGAAGGCAAATTTTACGTCACTTCAATGGTTTTACAGTTCTTTAATAGCATAACCTAAGGCGGAATGGACGGGAAAATGGGCCCCAAAATAGCGGCGAAAAAAATCCCATTTTGAACCCTCTACAATGTGTGGTTTATAATTCAGCGTATAGAAACGCAGTGGGAAATTTTTCACAAACTGACCTCCAATTCCAGAATTGCCACTGATATGGATGGTATTTCACGTGACGTTTCGAGTAGTCATTTCCCCGGATGTTTCCAAGCCAGACGTCAAAACCTTGGTCCGCAAGTATGTAAGCGAGGCTCCTAGTGGGAGTGTCCATGACCCAGTTTGTCGCGTCCGCGAGAATGCCGTGCTGAAGGAATACTACTTGTTTAGGAGCAGTAGTTTCTTTCTCCTCTCTCCCTCGGGGAATCCTTTGCATGGCAAGAATGAAGCCATCTTTTGTTGTCACATGATGCTCTTCATAAGGGTATCCTCTGCTAGCGATGATTTGAGTCTAATGAAAGAAAAAAAA